TAATTTAAATGTAAATATAAGAGGAAAGTGAATTCTAAACCATGAGTCTCCATGTCAGTCCAGTGTGGAGAATAATTAGTGTAATAACTCTTCATAGATTTCAACTGTGCAGCACAGTACTACACTTCAAGTCCACAATCATCCCATAATCATCCCAAAATCATAAGGTATAGTAAGGACAAACAGAGTTTAGTTGACTTCCTATTATTCTATAAGAAATTTATCTTCTTCTTTATTTGCAAAAAGAATTCAGGAGGTGACAGGAGAGTAATATTCTGAAATATATAGAGTATCTTTAGCAACATATTCCTTTTCAATTGAAGGAGTATTTTGTAGTCCAGTACAAAATAGTGCATATGTGCAAAATATTTCGATAAATAATGAGTTAGCGTGATTCCAGTCCTTATGCCTTGTTACTTTTGTTGCTCCTTTTTGAAGTTTGTTTAGTGACTGTTGTGTTTTGTAATTAATTTCACAAACCTCTCTGGAGTCACTTAAATAATATCAAACTATAGAACAGTACCTGCTAGGCTGTTTCTGTGTGTGTGAACATACACTATAATAGACTCACTTCATGAACTGTGAACTGAAAAAGTGAAACCCTGACTCGTAATGTCTACTTTCCCATCGATGGACATTCATTCTCATTTAAAGAAAAAGGCCAATAGCCACATAACATTCAGATAAAAATAATGCAATTTCTTTCTTTCTTTTTCTCTCCTCCGAGGATTTGGTTGGCTTGAATGGCCAGTATTTTTGAAAGTACGCTGATAGGAAAGAGGGGATGGGGAGAGAGGGGAAGACATGTGGCAAATGTCGCCAGGGCCAGGAGTCAAACCCACAACAGCCGTGTCGAGGACTAAGGCCTCCATACGTGGGTTGTGCTAACCCCCTACGTCACCACAGCATGCCCATCATGCAATTTCCAAGTATAATTTTCACTAGTCATTAACCTGAACTTCTACCTTGATAATAAACTGGTTTTAGGTTTATTAATCCTGTGAATTTAACAAAATGTTCTTCAAATGACTGGAATGCATAGTTTTGTGTCATGATTTTATTTTCATTTCTGGGGAGCAGACCGCACTAGGACTGTCACTCTACACCTGCATGTATCTCATTAATGTTAGCAGTTGTACACCTAATGTTGTACACCTTTTCCAGCTGCACAGAAAAACACCTTGACTGTGATACAAAAAACATTACATTCATACGATACATAAAGGAACATCATTGAATATGAATGAAACTTCTTCACAGCGCCTTCCAGCAAATTCACAAGCCTTAAGTTGTTCAAGTCTTGAGTTTGTCTTCCATTGATTTGTTTTTAGTTTGTAGGTTAGCCACCTTGTCTTCTGCTGCGGCAATGCGGTCCTCTGTGACATAGGTTCATTATCGCCTTTCCTCTCCTGTTTCACATCTTGTAGTGTCACCATCACATTATCAAGCTTCGGGGAAGACTCGTGACTTACGGACTCCAGGGCAGCCAGAATTTGATTAGACTTAATATTTTCTGACTCATTTTTTCCTTCTTGCAGAGCCATATTTTTGTACGCTTACAAACAAAAACAATGACGGTTTGGGCTGAACAGCTTTGTTTGTTTGGATGCCTCAGTTTTCCCTTTATGTGTTTAGTCAAGTTATGCATTATACATTAAATTGTACCTTTTTCCGCATAAATCTTCCTTGAACATCAATTTTTTTTTGTCCTTATTCCAACAGCAACAGCAGAGCAAGGTCCAGCATGTCTTAACTGCCATAACCAGAAGTCACTTAATTTTATTTTCGGTGATTTTGTGATTGTTACGAAGCACGTTGGTCAGTAGAGGTTGTTGTAAATCTGCTATTTAAATAAACTTTGAATTGACTGCATGTCAAGTACAGTGGTTCGGTTGTTTCACAGCGTTTGTGATTTCTGTCACAAACCATCAGCTCTCAACAGTGGTTGGGTTCTGTTCCTGAGGTTTCCGTGGAAACAATCAAGTTATATCATATCAGCAACCAACTGTTATAGAGCAGCTGACACTCATCCTATTCGTCTGCTTTCACACATTATATTTCATAAAAATCACCAGTGATCGTTTTAACAGGCGTATTTGCTGCTCATCATGATAAAATTGGATTTATGTTTCTGGTGGGACAATGATGGAATTACACATTCCCAGACATGCATGAAAATGGTCAACCAGTTTGCTGTAAAGTGCTTTGAACAGTTCAGCAGAACTGATAAAGAAGATGGAATATGTGCTTGTGTTTCAATTAAGTTTCTTTGTCTTTTTAGCCTTGCAATGACAGGTCTAACTTTTATCACTTCTTTTGTTTCTCACTCCTTTAACAAACTTTCTGGTAAATGTAGCAGAAATGTAACTTTATTCATTGTTGTGTGTGTGTGTGTGTGTGTGCGTGTGTGTGTGTGTGGGTGTGTGTGTGTGTGTGTGTGTGTGTGTGTGTGTGTGTGTGTGTGTGTGTGTGTGTGTGTGTGTGTGTGTGTGTGTGTGTGTGTGTGTGTGTGTGTGTGTGTCAGGCTCTTTTGGCTCTGGACATGGCCCTGCAGCAGAATCCCAGTGATCTGAGAGTGAGGGCAGAATTGTATTTTTCTAAAGGAAACCAGCTGAGAGAGATGAACCAGCTGGATAAAGCCTTTGAGGTAATGTTTATTCCCTCTATCTTTTTTCAAATTTGTCTTCCCCATGTTTCCCTGCAGATTAGCAGGAAACATAAAGAGACATGTTGGAGCGGATTGGTGCAGCGTCCGCTGTGAAGCGGGTGCTGTACCGGTCCGACACGGTGAAGAGAGAGCTGAGCCAGAAAGTGAAGCTCTCGATTTACCAGTCGATCTACATTCCTACCCTCATCTATGGTCATGAGCTTTGGGTAATGACTGAAAGAACGAGATCGCGGATACAAGCGGCCAAAATGGGTTTCCTCCGTAGGGTGGACTTAGAGATAGGGTGAGAAGCTCGGTCATCCCGGAGGGACTCAGAGTAGAGCTGCTGCTCCTCCACATCGAGAGGAGCCAGTTGAGGTGGCTCGGGCATCTGGTCAGGATGCCTCCTGGACGCCTCCCTGGTGAGGTGTTTAGGGCACGTCCCACAGGAAGGAGGCCCCGGGGAAGACCCAGGACACGCTGAAGGGACTACGTCTCTCGGCTGGCTTGGGAACGCCTTGGGATTCCCCCAGAGGAGCTGGAGGAAGTGGCTGGGGAGAGGGAAGTCTGGGCCTCCCTTCTTAAGCAACTACTCCCACAACCCGACCCCGGATAAGCGGAAGACGACTGACTGACTGCTGACTGTCGGTCGGTCGGTCGGTCGGTCGGTCGGTCGGTCGGTCGGAGAAACCAGGCAGATATCAGGTTTGCACTGATCTGTGTTTTTAGGCACTTAGGAGAGGTGACATTGAAGCAAGAAAAAAATTACAAATCCCTCAAAAGACCTCTGAAAAATGCCTTCCTCTCACTTTTGAGATGATGCTGATGTCCCTAAACAGCAGCGTGCATCACTGATAGCCAGATGGCTTCTGGGTGGATAAACCTAAACATGTGTGCCTTCAAAATGATCGTATTCAATGTTTCTCTAAAATAGAAAAAGCACAATTTTCTTTTGCATGGTACCAAACCAAATCCCGGCCCTTATTTCTCACACCTCATTGAATGATATTGCATTACTTTTTAATTTTGTGGACTAGGGGATTGGAATGATACTTTATTTACAGTACTGGATTTAACCAATTTTAGCTCTTATTTGTCAAAAACCAAACACAATGGATGTATTGATCAGGTGTACATGTTTACCATAAAAACCTTAGTGGTAAGTTAAATGTTCAATGACTTTAATTTGCTTTTACTTTAGTAATTGGCAGATGGGAAGAGGTGAATGTTTGGCCCCATTCAATATATTCAGAGTGTTCCAATCCTGAGAGGATGGAATTAAATAATTAAACATGACTGTTAGGGTTAAACACCTATTAAACACAGATTAAACAAACACAGGAAAGACAAGAGAGTTAGATTCTTTCTTACTCGCGAGGAGAACAGAGAGATGTGCTTTCAGTTACAATCTCCTACCGCTCTGAAGCACATTTGTCTGCTTCTCTCTTTTTATTGTTTTCAGAATCCCTAATCACAAGGACTTTGTAGCTCTAAAGGGAGGGGAAACCAATGTATCACAATTGTCATTTACTAACTAACACACAAATAATTCTGCACTAGATAATCTCCTTCCAGGCATAATGTTAAACAGAATATGTAGTGAATCTTCACAGTGACGGTTTTATTGCAATCCAGCAACTCAACGAAGCAGAGCTCTTCACCAAGAGATAACACTGCAGGAAGACTGTTGTCTCTGCTTTCCGTCAGTGAGGCTTTCTGAGAAAGGAATCAGAGTAAATCAACAATACAGAAACATCCTCAACTCTAAGATGAAATTAAACAATAAAAGCATATAAGAAAAGATACATTATAAAGATTAATGAGAATAACAAATATTTGATTAATAACATCACAATTTATCCGACAATGACCATCAATAACACCAGATGGAGAAAAACAATATCAATTAATTTGGTTACATTTGTGGCTTGGAACTTACTGGAGCTACAGAGAAAAGTACTTTAGGAGATAAGAAAAAACTAGATTGGACATAGGTTTTCTACAAGAAATACACAAGAGAAACCAGGATCATAATAGACTTTGCAACAACTAGATAGGACAGATATTTAATTCTAACTTTAATGCAAAGAGTAGAGGCACAGCAGTTAAAACTAGAACATTTCTGATGAAATTTAACCGGAGCCTGCCAAAGTGTGCCGTTGGTTAGGACCCAGCGTTCTGATGCTAAAAATTAGCATCAATGCTAAAAAATTAAAAAGTAGCATGTGGAGAATCACAAACATGATGACTAACATAGACTTGCACCATTCATTATGTTAAAATTAGTGTCTAATCTAAAATTAGCCAGAAAACTAATGTAATTCTAAATGCTGTCAGTGGCATGTAGGTTATCATTCAAATGTTTCTTTTGAATGTGTCCTAAACACTGTATGTGTTTAGGACACATTCAGTGTCCTAAACATTGCTAATAAGTAACAAAAATAGCTACAAGCTTATTTTAGGGAAAAGGCTAATGCTAATGCTAATGCTCAGCCCTAACCTGAGAGAAAAAGATAATGCACGTAATGCAGTGAAATGCTAATGTTCGTGCTAATGTTAATGGACGTATTGCTGCGCACAATAAGGCAGATTCCTATCCCAATAATGCAAGCTAATATTATTGCATTGCCTATGCACTAGCCAGAGAGAAAAATTAAGGCTTTTATCTTGATTACATTACATGAATTTATGTACACAACAAGAACTCTTAATTGAATGTTCTGCATAAAGTTCTGTCACTCCAATGTGTCCCGATCTGATTAACTAAGGCTTTTTTAAATACAGCTAGACTCTCATATTTCATTTACAAGAGAGTCCAAAAAATAATTCTTGCATAGATCACCTGGCCAATAGGCGTACCTTGTGTTTGTTCAATGCTGTTCTGACTGTCCACTCAGGCTCTTTCAAATCCTTATTAGATGCTGCTCTTTGTATTTCTAATCACAAGATTCAGAAGTCAGTAGTTTCTCATTCAGTTAAAATTTTGTCACAAATCAGAAAATATTATGGATATAAAAGCACATCAGCTCTTAGTCCATTCATAAATAACCACACATTTCCTCCTTCAGCCCTAAAGCTATTTCTTAATCAGTGGAAACACAAAGGGATTCAATGAGCAAAAGATTTATTTTTTGAAAAGGTTTTTACAGTTACATTTCAACAAATCCAAAACAAATTTAATATGGAAAGTCAATAAAAAAAATTACTTACAGATTCAAGAACAGATTTCCAAATCTTCCTAGTCAAAGCCTGTCCTCCTCTGTGGAGACAATCCTTCTGTTTGATCCAGTAAGAAAGAGCTTAATAACAAGGATCCATAATCTATGTTTGGTTATCACAGAAGACTCGGTTCCTACATTAGACCATCTGAAAAGGATGGTCATGAAGATCCATGAGTAATTATTACAGATAGCCAGTGGCCCACAGTCCAAGAATATGTTAATTCTACTTCAATTTGTATTGGGCATGGTATCTCTCAATTCAAGGTTTTACACAGATTGCAATTATCCAAATTGAAATTGTCAAAGAGGTTTTCCTGTGACAGATGCACTAAAGGACCAGACTCTCTTGTGCGACCTTGTTAAATGTTCTCGGATACCATCTCAGCTCAGTTCAAATAATAATTCAGTTCTGTGTTGTGTGAATAACGGCCAGAAGGCAGGATGAGATGAAACAGTTCATCTGCACAAAACAGAATTTCCACTGGTCAGGACTCATTCATTCATCATACTGAAAATGACAGAAAAAAATAGTTTCCATGGAGATCTGGTTGTGTTTAGACTTGTACTTTATTGATCCCTTGGGAAGACTCCCTCAGGAAATTGAAGTTACCAGCAGCTTACAGGCAGAAAAATGGCACACAGTAAGCATATGCAAAAGAATACAAAAAAATACAGATTAAATACAAAGGTACACAGTGATATTATTCTTCCCTTCTTCCTTTCCTTCCCCCCCAGAGAGGAGTTGTACAGTCTGAAGGCGCGGGGGACAAAGGAGTTCTTGAATCTATTGGTCCGGCACTTGGGGAGCAGCAGTCTGTCACTGAACACTGTTTGTTACAACATCAAATAGGAAGCTGACGCTGGAGTGTTATTTACTTAAAACTGTGTCCCTATATATGGATCGCAGACTTGCTATTGTGCAACAGCTTAGAAGACCACAAGCATTTTCTAGATAAAACAGGAGGGCACAGTTACATTCTTTCTGTTTGTTTTATTGCCAATAAGGTGCTGCATTTTTTTTCAAAAGGTCGATAGCATCAATTATTCTTCACCTTAAACTTAGATTGCTGTTATATTGGACTGTTTGACTCTATGCAGCCTGATGCCAAATGTTATTGGAGCTTTCTGATTTGTTTGCTGATTCATTTGCTCTCTTCATTGTCTGTTTTTTCTCCTTTTAGAATTACAAGTTGGCTGTTGATCTGAAGCCTGACCAGTCTCAGGCCTGGATGAACATGGGAGGGATTCAGCACATCAAGGTGATAACGTATCTTAAAAAATCTAAATTATGTTCACATGCCATTCATAGCCGCACTCCAGCTACGGATGGCATGTAAAAGAAAAGCTTGTTGGCTCTCCAGCGTTGGACACATGCATAAAATTTCTGGATGAAAACAATAGCATATTAATTGTCTATATACTGTACAATATTATAGCACAGAAATACTCTAAAGTTGTCAGACGCTGAAAAATTGAACCAACGGCTCGGAAATAGTAGAAATAGAAAGAGTGGTCATTGAACGCCGTGCACAGATCATCCATATGTTGCAACATGCAGAACTTGAATCAGTTCCTTTACAATAACTGGATTATTTGAATTAAACCAGAATTAAAGACTAATGATTATCATACGTAGATCTGTTTATTATTATTCAGTGACTTGGAGGTGACAGATGTCCAGACTATGATTAAGGAGAGCAGGAATTATAGACAGGTGTGAGTGCAGATCAGTGTCCTCGTTCCTTTGACACAAGCGCAATTGTACTATCTTGCATCTTTATTTGAATATAGTACATGTGTTAACACAATATAGTACATGTGTCTGGACACAGGGAGACTATGCAGCTGCCAGGATGTACTATGAGCGGGCCCTGCATCTGAATCCTGGTTCCAAACTTCTCAAGGAAAATCTGGCAAAGCTGGACCGGCTGGAGAAGAGACTGACAGGTGGAGCATAACGTGGCAGACGTGAAAATTGTTCTGAAGAAGTCAGCAGCTTGCTCTAGGAGAGGACATGTGCCAGGTCACTGCATCGTCCAACCTTTTCACAAACAGCAGGAGAGAAGGCTTGCTGGTACATCTGTGTGCAGCAGAATGAAATGGAGAATAACACAGAAAATCACTGGAAGTTCTGTGACTTCATAAGCTTTGTTTATCATGATTTAATTTATTAGTGTTGCCTATTTAGATGCAGAGTTATTTTCTAAATAAGTAGATTCACCAATTGTAATTTAGTCCTCTGCTTTCAGGCATCATTCCCATATTTATTAGTTCAAGAAAGTGAAAAGAATCAGAAAAGGTTCTGACCTGTAGGGAACATGTTTGAAATCAAGTCAAAAGGACATTCTGAAACAAAGGTTTGTGTGCAAGAGAATGGTGTTGATGTCACCATCAAACTTCTCAAGGCAAGTTTAAAAGTGACAAAATGCATCGTTGGTCTCTCTTCTGGACTCCACAGACGATGGGGTGATGGTGGTAGGAGATCGTCCCTCAGTTGTTGGGTTCTCACTCCATCCACCTCTGTTGTTGTGCTGTTGGGCAAGATGTCACCCACCTTGCCTGCTGATGGTGGTCACAGGGCCTGGCTAGTGTTTTGTTGCCTCCTCTCTGTCACAGTGCGACTGGGGCAGCTGTGGCTAGTGGCTACTATCCAGTAACTTGCCATCAGTGTGTAAATGGGTGAATGTAGTTTGGGATCTATTGAACTTGATAATATATAAGTTCACATTTGTACAATAGAATGAGAGTTGCATTCTACTGAACTCAGAATTCTTTCAGGCTGTAGCTGAAACTTACCACTGAATGCATAGTGGTCACAGATGACCACTGATGACAAAACTCCACATCATCAAGTCAGGAATGCAGAGCTTACCCAAGCTTTATTTTATCTTTAAGTTGTGAATCAATCACAAGAGTTGTGTTTGAGTGTGTAAACCAGGATGCCCAACATGTAGATGGCAATCGACCTGAATTGATTTTTTCCACAGACACATCCTGATGGAGAAGTGGATGTAATTCTCAAGTAATGATCAAAACTGTTAATATAGTAACATGTGTATCTATTAATTGATGCAACTGAAGAAATTATTTTCAAAATTGAAACAAAAGGATGCCCGCCATAGCTCAGGGCCATGACAATCACTGCCAAGTTGTCTGACTCTTATAGGGTGAGGCTTTCCCAGCAGCAGAATGCTTTACTTATGCTGGCTTTTCTGCAAAGGACAGATCAAGACAACCATCACTCATACACTTCAGTAAGAGATAACTTGTCCTATAAAATAAGTCAATAGTTTCATTTACACTTTTTACATCTTTGTGTGATGTGGAGTACTCAGCCACTTGATGAGAGAAAAAGTAACTCTTGGTCTCAAATCAATTGGGCACCTTTGGTTTAAACAGTTGACTCAAATAAGACCTTTGTTCATTTAGCTGCTGTTCTTTATGACCCATCATTTCCTTTTTCTCTTTAATAAGTTTTACTTATGTCATCAGAAAATGATTTAGGTGTTTGGTTTACAATTTACTCATCTATTCTGGATGGACTTTAGCATAGGGGAATCATTTAGATTAAATACCAGCTGACATGAACAATCAGGTTGCCTGAATTAAACCAGGATTCAGATTTATGACTTGTTTTCCTCTTCGCTCTTCCAAAGATGAACTTTTACCACGAAAGAGCAAAATACCTTACTAAGGGTTCATTGTGAATCTGCTCCTGTTGAATAAATCTTGATATGCCATGGTCAGTCCCAGAGGTGGATCTTCAGATTTATTTGGTTTTTTTTGTCACAAAAGAGAAGGGATTCCAATCTATTGCACCTCTCAAGTGCTGAGAGGTGCAAAGGGTACAAGTGTAACATTTTCTTTTTGTAGTTTGGAAAGTGAAATGCCACTGATAAATGCTGCATCCCTTGGAGAGGGGCTGACTTTGAGCCTATGGTCCCAAATCATCTGCAGCTTTAATAAGGAGCTGTGTTTTTTTCCAGTTCATCTTGTGGCTTTGTGCTTTAAAACCTCAGTAGTTTGCTAATTGAATGCTTGTTTTGTGAACACTGATTTGAATGTGATTGGATGTTGTGATATGATTAAGAGATGTAAAGGAAGTGACCAGGACAATGATGTAATTGCTCCAAAAAATAAAAATAAAATATATCTTTTACTAAATCATGCCTGGTGTTTCTACTTAAAGATATTGCTCTATACAGTATATGTACCTCATAAAGGGAAATGTTTCCTACACAAAACTCAGAGAATTGATGTCCTTATTGAAGCATAATAATGTCGCGGTATTATGAGCCTGGCCAAAGAAATTGAAAATGTTTTCTTAACCTATTGTAGACTTTTAGATAATCAAAACTTCAGCGATTTGTATTATTATAGCTCAATTTTGTTGTTCATCTGTTTTCACTGTATGCTGCTTTTGAGACAGGCATGTGGAACTGTCATTTTTGAGTGGTAGCTGCACTGTAAAAAACCCAGAGTAAAATTTATGATAAAAATATTGTAAGACACCGACAGTTACAAACTGTAACATCCAAAGCATTCATGTTACTGTAGAAAATAAATGAAAGTCAAGAAACGTAAATTTCAATTAATTTTTTCAGTTATGAAATGTAGAAAACATATTTATTGTGGAGGTCTTAGAAATTGTAAAATTGATAGAAAAATCCTGTAATATTGTCAGCAATCAATAACTCTAAAATGAACAGTACTAATCAACCAAAATTACACATTTTGGTTGATTTATATCTGTAATGTAAAACCGTAAATCAGACTGCAAAAGTAATTTCTACAGTGTCTATGACATTTTTTTCTTTTCTTTTTAAATAAATAATGCCCCTAATCCCCTTCATATGTCAAATTGAAAGCTCAAAGGCAGATCAGGAATCGAACTGGGGTTGTTGTGATTGTGAGATGTAAAGAAAGTTACTAGGACAATGATGTAATTGCTCCAAAAAAGTAACAATTAAGTATATATTTTACTACATCATGTCTGGTGTGTTTCAGGGACCCAATTGCAGGGCAGATTCCTACAATCAAACTCTGTTAAGAAGATGGCAATAACAAAACTCTAGAATAAATAAATAAACCTGGTCTTGTGTGCGCTTCGTCTTACACAGTTCTGAGTTATTTTTAATCTCCAAGAGAGTCAAGTCTTTTTCAAACTTTTGTTCCCTTTAGCCTGACAAATAAAAGTCACTCACCAAACACTGTTTTCCAACACATTGTGTTTATCATTTTTAATTGCTGATATAAACATAAAACAATAGCTGATAGTAGGACCTGAAAACTTAGACTTCCTGAGAAGATGAGAGTGCAGGTTTTCTGGAAAATCCAGTTCTTCTGTAAAATATGACAGATTACTGGATGAAAAATATTTCTAGTTACTATTTTTCTTTCATTGATAATGTCATTTATTGGTCTTAAATAATAAGTTCTAGCATTTATGCATTAAAGTATTTCTCTGTGAATTTCTGCGATACATGAGAAAATAATTCCTCTCTCTTCAAAGAAAGAAAAAAAATGCTTTTAGAAACATCAGAGCGATGCAACTCCTGAAGCCTGAAGCTCACCTTGTGATCCTTGCTACCCCATTGGACAGGGACCGAGCATCTTGAGACATACAGGTCTGGAAAAAATTCAGATTACTGAAAGTAATCAGTTTCACTGATTTTACTTTATATAGGTATGTATATGTTTGAGTATAAACAACATTGTTCTTTCATTCTATTAACTACTGACATGTCTCCAAAATTTCAAGTAAAAATTTAGTATTTATTTAAGAAATGAGAAATCCCGATATCCTGACTTATTTTCTTAGGATCTTGAGAAAGTAAGTCGGGATTTCTTTTCCTTTTCTTTTTTCTCCATGTCCCCTTAGGGCTCTTTACCTTTATATCAGATAATCTGACATAAAGAAATGGTCCCATCATAACCATGACCCTTGATGGTCATGGAGGGCTGTGTTGTCTCAGGTCCGCTGTACACAGCACAGGCTAGCCGTCATCAGCAGCAGAAACAGCAACAGTATAGCTGTCGAAGAAAACATAAACTATATTTGCTTTCTATTGTCCCCACATGATGACGATGATACAGTATGATCTGATTAAATATTAGATTCTTAATTTATTTGCGTTGTTCAATGTGCCACTTTTGAACTTTTTAACGGCCCTGCCCGCTATTACGTGGCTTCCAACAAAAGCAATTAAATTATAAATACACACAATGTGTTGGAGAAAGGTGAAAGACTGACTCTTATTTGTCAGGCTAAAGTGAACATGACAAAAGTTGAAAAAAGACTGATTCTCTTGGAGATTAAAAATAGCACAAAAGTTCAACTCCGCCTCTCTGGCTGCAGTGACAGCTGCAGCCACAAGGGGAACAGAATTTCGCACACGTTGGCCGTGAAGTGGCGCACTGCTCCAAAAATCTCTCTGCAAGCTGACCAGAAGAAGAGTACGTCACACACGGAAGTGTCAACATGGAGGACGGTAAAGAAGTTTCCACGAATTCACTTCTGAAAGATGGTGAGCTTGTCTTTTTTCACCAAACACACAAACTAACAATAAAAATAACAACAACAAACGATACCTGACAAAAAATGGGCAAGGATGCTGTGCTACAAGCTAACTTCTTCAGCTCCTGTACATGTAATCATCCTTCTCTTTCAGAGTCAGTGGAGCTTGTGGCGTTTAGAAAGTGTTTAGTAATTAAGACTCCCGTTCTTTTAATGCAGTGATCCACAAAAGCTACTCAGTTTGCTGGCAGACCAACCGGGACCGCTCCGGTCCGGTCCGGTCCGGACTGGTCTGCTGGTGGGAGCATATAATGCCCTACTGCTCTGTTTGCAGAGACCTATTCGGATTTCCTGGACGAAGATTTTGACGTGAAGACGTACACAGCACAGGCTATCCATCATGCCGTCATCGCCGAGCAGTTGGCCAAGCTGGCACAGGGCATCAGCCAGCTCGACAAGGAGCTGCACAGCCAGGTACTGACATCCGCTTCATTCACAGCAATCACAAAGAGGTCTGGTGCGAAATTCGGTTCAACTGTGAAAATCTGTTCCCTCTGTGTCGGGAGCGCGCATTACAGCCCCTGTGTCGGCTTGAGCTCGTGCCCCATTTTTAAAAATTTTTGTATTTTGTATTGCTTTTGTATTGCTTATGCCCCTCAGCAATAATATTTAGCTAAATATAATAATTTATCAAAATAAACGTAGTCTAATAATGAGTCAGTTGTTCAGTCACTGGGTCCATGGTGCAGTGGCGGAGCTAGACTTTTTTTCAAGGGGTGGCCAAAGGGTGAGCAAGGCTTTATCAGAGGGGTCCATATACAAATGGACCGTTCCATGGAACGAAAGGAAAAGATATTTGTTTCCTTTCGTTCAAAATTAATTAATATATCTAGTAAGGTTAAAATTCAAAGCTTTAATATGACATAGCCTACTTACATTTCAGTCATTATAGAACTTAATGGTTTTTCTCATATTCTTACCACACACATTTCAAGCAAGAGCTGGGAGATATAAAACATTAGAGGGCAGCATGTCACTAAAACATATGTTAAAAGAATCTGTCTAAAACACGATCTATCAGCACTAGCATGGCTAATATAATAAACGAGGCACTACGCAGCGGTGCACAACCATTTTGTTTTTCTTTTTAGAAATGTATGACAAGAGCCGCCTCTCATTAGGAAGGTAACAGCGGTTACCGCTGAGCGGTAAAATGTCGTAAATACCTGCAGAACTCCTGGATGCTGTAACTCTAAAGCCGCGGATGTTTTGGATCAAGCAGGACCGACATGTCAGTTTAACCAATGAACAGCGTCGGGCATCGAGCTGCCTTCAGGGACAGTCGGAAATTACAGTTTTCCTGGCAAATCTTTGCCGATCTCATAAGTATTATATTTTAAAATTACCATTTCCAGTGGGGTGGCACTAGGGGTGGCCAGGGGTCTGCTGGGGGTGGCAAGTGCCACCCCGGCCACCCCTCTGGCTCTGCCACTGCCATGGTGAGGGGGGGCCGGATTTGTATCTTCCAACTCTCATTTTATGGGCAAGAATTTTATTTATTTATTTTTTTACCTTGTTTTGTGAATGAAAATGTAAGACTGATGTTGACATGAGAAAAAGTGTTGTATTTATATTTTCATAATTGTCCTCGCAATAATGGAAAAAGCCTTCTTCACCCCTAAACATACAGTTAGGGCCAGAAATATTTGGACAGTAACACAATATTTGTGAGTTGGGCTCTGCATGCCACCGCATTGGATTTGAAATGAAACCTCTATAACAGAATTCAAGTGCAGATTGTAACGTTTAATTTAAAGGGTTGAACAAAAATATGTGATAGAAAATGTAGGAATTGTACACATTTGTTTACAAACACTCCACATTTTAGGAGCTCAAAAGTAATTGGACATATAAACATAACCCAAACAAAAAAGTTTTTTCTCAATATTTTGTTGCGAATCCTTTGGAGGCAATCACTGCCTTAAGTCTGGAACCCATGTACATCACCAAACGCTGGCTTCCCTCCTTCTTAATGCTTTGCCAGGCCTACAGCCGCAGCCTTCAGGTCTTGCTTGTTAGTGGGTCTTTCCGTCTGAAGTCTGGATTTGAGCAAGTGAAATGCATGCTCAATTGGGTTGAGATCTGGTGATTGACTTGGCCATTGCAGAATATTCCACCTTTTTGCTCTCATGAACTCCTGGGTAGCTTTGGCTGTATGCTTGGGGTCATTATCCATCTGTACTGTGAAGCGGCGTCCGATCAACTTTGCAGCATTTGGCTGAATCTGGGCTGACAGTATATCCCGGTACACTTCAGAATTCATCCAGCTACTCTTGTCTGCTGTTATGTCATCAATAAACACAAGTGACCCAGTGCCATTGAAAGCCATGCATGCCCATGCCATCACGTTGCCTCCACCATGTTTTACAGAGGATGTGTGTGCCTTGGATCATGTGCCGTTCCCTTTCTTCTCCAAACTTTTTTCTTCCCATCATTCTGGTACAGGTTGATCTTTGTCTCATCTGTCCATAGAATACTTTTCCAGAACTGGGCTGGCTTCTTGAGGTGTTTTGGGCAAATTTAACTCTGGCCTGTCTATTTTTGGAATTGATGAA